TATTACAGGGACACTCCCCTCTACAGGCCTCCGACACACCCCTACAGCAGTGAATACAAGTGATTAACATACACTTCAGGGGAGATAATTCTAATTACATATGTGATTTAAGTGGTGCAGACCGAAAAGGATAAAACATTGAATATGTGATTTTTAAACGCTTGTACACAAACGATCAATGTGACCACATGTACATGTATTTATTTTTGAGTTGTGTAACTTGTGACGCCCCATAACGTGTTGATATCATATGTGTCTTTGTTGAGACATAAAGAACGAGATACGTACGCGCACTTCGCCTCGCACGTGTTACTGTAAGTTTTCCCATTTAGTCCACACACAGGTCTGAATTCCCGCGTACACATACAGGGCTTTTGACTCTTACATGGACATTCACCTGTACACTCAACGTCCAAACCACTGTTATAATAGAAACAAAGATATATGGTATAGGTTGTAGCTGTATCGGTCGACTAAAATCACCAAGATGTAAATTATGAAGTAGGTAAAATTGCTTGAGAACTATTCTGAAATGTTTTCAACTGCTAAACGTAACCTTCCGATTATTAACGTCATTGTTGTACCGGATGCAATCTAAATCTTATTGGCTTTCATGTTTTATTGCACTAAAACTTGCTCAACGAACGCGAACCCCCAACCATCTGGAAGTAAAGATATGTGATCCAGAATATTTATCGTTCGGAGAGCCACATTTGACATATGTCATAATATAAAAAAACAGACGAATTTCCTGATAGAATCACGAAATGTAAACAGAAGCATACCAGTGAACCTGACAAATATTGAGTACTAAATTTTGTTTTCGAATGATACAGTGAGACTGTTTAGAACAACGCACATCAGCAATGAGATATAAAGTTGTTTCAACAAATAGTTATAAGTAAAGACAGCCATCATCGCCAGGTTACCAAAGATTTAGGTACATGGAAATACACGTTATCATAACAACAGTCAATTACTTACGCACAGTTAGCTCCGCATACGTTTCCGTATGTTTGTCCATTTACACCACACACAGGCTGGTAATCTGCGGTACATATACAGGGCTTGGTTTTGTTACACGGACACTCCCCTTTACAGGCCTCTGCCACACCCCTAAAAAAAATCCAACTAGATTAGGCGTTGTCAGGTATATGGAGACTGGCTCTCAATTAGACATATACAATTATTTGTACATTTGTAGAGGAACGCAGATATCAATGTACCGTTGTTGGGAGTGTCACACATCAGGTGAATTTGTTATCACAAAACCAGTTTTGGTTTATAATTTCGGTTTAGAACTGGTTCGGCTTTGGTTTCAAAGCTGGTTTTGGTTTAGTACTGTTCAAAAAAATGTCTTGTTTAACACAAAAAAATGGCTTCAAAACAAATGTGTTCAGCACTAATACTTCAAGTGTTTCTCAATGGTGACCGATGACACGGATTGCATCCTCGTGTTTAATATCGGTTTGAAGCAGCCGCGATTACATACTGTATCGGTAGAAAACTGTTGAAATGACTGTCAAAAAAACGTATACAATCTACTAATAGACACAAAATCTAGCAAAATAAAGGTATTTTAAAAAGATAAAAACAAACATTTTTCAACAAATCTAACCTGCCGAAAGTAGCCATCATATGTTTCCGTGCATCTATTTTGTTTCAGTATGCTTTGATGGGTATTTCAAGTATGATCTTTAATTGTAAAATTAATTATCAAAACAAATTTTTCAAAATTACATATTTATTTTTACTGATTTTTCAATATTTCAACTTCAACAAATTCATATAATTTAACAGATGTATTCCTTTAGATATTTGAAAATTTCCTCTGCCTTCACTTCTACCATCACGTTTCTTGTAATCGACGCCATCTTTGATTAGGAAACCAATTATAAAACCACACCCGGGTGCAGTTTGATCATTTTTTCGAACCGGTTTTGGTTTACCGTTAACAAATGAAAAACCAGTTTCAGTTTAAAACTAGTTTTAAACTGGTTTTCATTAAAAAATAGAAAGTTTACAAAAC